AGTGTAGTGCACAAGCATGACATTTGTCACACATTCAATAGCCAAGGGAAATGACACACGAGGCCAGCAGTACATAAAATCACGTTCGACAGTTACGTATAAAAATTCGTCGGCGCATATCCGACTGCTGCTCTTAGGCTGAAGGCAACAAGGCTAATAAGGACGGAGCCTGAGCGATCATGGGTGCCGCGGGGAGGGGCGGAGGGGGGAAGGGGAGCAACAGAGAGGCTCCTGTCAACACGTACAGAATTCTCAGAACAAGCGGCAGGAACTCTAGGCCAACGTGGTGGGTCTCTGAACGATCGGTAGTGCCCCAGCGGCCAAACATATAGGCCCCGACCAGAGCACAGCGCCATTTGAACGAAATACAACTACGGAATACAAATGCAATGAAGTAATGCTCTTGTGCGATCAAGAGTTCACAGGCAGGTTAACAGAAAGGGTCCCGATAGGAGTGAAGGGTTCTCCTCAAACGAGATCGAAGGGACACAGCGCTGGATCAAAGTAGAGGGTCCTGAGGATCGCGTGGCTAGGTACCTTACCTTATAAGAGCCCCAGCAGCAGCACGAGGCCCTACGAGCAGATGGAAAGAGCTCACCAATGTGAAGGGCCGCTGGGCAACTGAGTGTTCCCTGGCATGTGCGGCTCCGGAAAAAAAAACGTTTAGCGCCTTTCGGGGAATGGGAAGAATTCGGTGATGGAAACTTGATCGATCGAGAGTGTCCAGGTATGTAAGCAGATAGTGTCTCAATAGCGGCGTAGAGCCCTACGAGAAAATGCAAAGAGATCAATGGCAACGTGAAAGGCTACTTAGTGATCAGATTGACCCGTAAAGTGGACATATAGGGCCCGGGCAACAGCTTAAGGCCTCTGGACAGGGCAATGAGCCCTCAAAGTTCCCTTCATTAACGCCTTTTCAATCAGCGTAGAATTAACGTTGTCTGCTCACGGACTCTTCACTTTGGCTTGGAACTGTTCTTGGTCGTCTACACACTCACAGACGTCCAACTTTGTTGTGTTTTGTGCTCGAAAACTGTGTCTGTTCATCATGGTATGGGATCTTTCGGGATACAAGGGGGTATGACCCCGTGCCCCTCCCTCCCTCGGTCCGAGCAGCTTAATTGACGGAGGGGGGGGGGGGGGGCACCCCACCAAGAACATAGGGCCATCCATTCAAATAAGAAGTACACAAGACAAAACATGGAGGGCCCCAGAATGAATGAGCGTGCCCGAGCAGGTTAACAGATAGTGTGTGGGGGGGGGGGGGGGGGGATGAGAGCTAGAGGGTCCTTCACTGAAATAAGAACCACCCACGACACAAGGCGGAGGACTCACAAACGATCGAGTCCATCCGAGCAGGTCAACAGATAAGGCCCCCGGCGAGAGCACAGGACCCTCCGTTCAAATAGAAAGTACTCAAGATCCAATGAAGATAACCTCCGAACGATAGAATGTGTCCGAGCAGCTCATTGAAAGGACCCCGACAAGAGCGCAGGACCCTCCTTTCAAATAAGAAGCAACCAAAATCCAATGCGGAGGGCCCTGGAGGATGGAGTGTACGCGAGTAGATAACAGAGAGAAGTCGTACGCCCCGGCGACCCTCGGCCCTGCGACCCCAACAGGGGCGTAGTCGCTCTAAATTTAAAGGGCTGCCAATTAATTCAGTGTGCTCAAGCAGGCTCATAGATGGGGCCCCAGCAAGTGTGTAGGGCCATCCATTCACATAGAAAGCACCCGAATGCAATATGGGGGCCCCGATCGACCGAGTGTACTCAGCAGGTCAACAGACGGACCACGACAGGAGCGAAGGACCCTAAGCAAGGGGCAAATAATCGGGAGGGGCCTAGGCCAATGAAGAGGACCCATGAGCATATCGCGAGTGACATGACATATCGTATATCGAGAGCATAAGTGAAGGATTATTTTTGTGTACTCGTGGGCCCTTCACTTTCGCCTTGGGCTGTTCTTGGTTGGTCGCCTGGAAGCCAAAAAACGTCCAATTTTGTTGCATTTTGTGTCAAAAAACTGTACCTATTCGACCGCATTTAGTCTTTTGGAGCCCATGGCCTCTGGATTCCCCTGAGAATGTGCGACACGACTTTGGCTCGAATTCACACACGTCATGGAGGGGGGGGGGGGGGGGTCACAAGATGCGCGCAACGATCCCCACGGTTGTGGCATGAGGACGGCATCTTGGTGGACAGGGGGTGTGACGAATTATAATGCAGAATATGACCATGGCGGCTATTGGTTCAAAGTGCAATTCGGCGGTACACCTTCCATCTGACCACATCATAAAAATGGCGTCGAGAAATGGAATTGACATGCCTTGAGCGGGGTGTTCCAAAGGGTGATGTTACTTAATTTTGGTAAAGAAACCTGGCCATCGGCATAGCTTCAAAACATCGAATTTCTCAATTTAACCATTTTTTGCTTGATGACGTAATGTGCCAGTACCTTCCAGCAAACTGAACTTCGATTATTTTTAGCGAACTTCCGACTCAAAATGCCGAGACATCACAAACGCAAGACCTTTCTTGCTTATATCAATTTCAAACTCATGTCAAGGCGCTGCTCTGACAATCTGTGACAGCGGTCATTCTGGTGAACCGTACGGTCACCAACCTTACCCGCTCTGCCCTTTCAGTTATTGACCTGTCTGATAAGGTCGTGCAAGTTCAGCTTCGCTTTGAGATCTATGTGCTTCCTGGCAGCGCACATGATAGGCACACTTTTCGTACCCTCTCCACGGAACATGCATCATGCGCACTCTTCTTTAGCGTGCACGCGCCGGGCCACACCATGGTGCATGGAACTGGCTTTTGGCGTATCGGACCTCCTTCAATGACTGATAAACGAGACCTTCTTACCTGATCACACCGGAATAGGATGTTTCACGGGTTAAGTCTTACTAAGATGTTTAATGTGAATTACACCCTTTGTAAACTTTTCACAAAATTACAGTTTGTCATGAGCTTGAAATGGGGTGTCGTCCTCCGTTAAAACAGGCATTTATTGATCGATTTTTTTGTTAATATTTCTAACACGCGCTCAGGTCTTGATTTGACTCCTTTCAAGGTTTTCCAGAATTATTTCTGACCGGCCCGACGACACCGCGCTTAACTTTGCATAGCTGTAGGCAATTAAATATTGGATGTTATGGTATGCAAAATGGGATGTAGCTTGTGAGGTCGCTGACCTATAGCAGGTAAGTCAGGCTATGAATGTCAGCGAGTGCACTTCTTGATCACTCGTTCAATGTGATTTACCAGTGATCCATGGTTAGACGAAGCCATACATCTCTGTCTCACACAATTAGCGAATTGTATTTAAGATGATAAGAACTTGGCATTCACCTTGGGTCTAAGATGAATTTCTACCAAAGTCCAGGCCAAAGTGCTTTTCATTCGAGAATTTGCTTTGCATGGTAGTTTTTATGCTCATTTCGAAGTCATGATTACAGGGACGCTAACAGATAATCTTATATGGCTTTCTTAAAGATCATAGGAAGCCAATGTCCTAAAATGATCACGATCCACCTTTTCTTTCTAGGACCATACCGCGTAGCCTTATGCTTTTCTGGATTAAAAAATCAAAACAACCTCCTCAGATCTCCGAACGTGCGACCTAAATGTCAGTTAATGTCGCTGGCCAGAAATAAACGTCAGTGCCATCTTGCTTAGAATAAATATATAAGGTAAAGGCGCTTGCATGAGGTGGTCTGCAGACACTTCGGGCACTGATCCGAAGTTTCACCTCATTTCCACAAAGCTTATGCCCTTTTATGATCTCATATCTCATGTCCCAAAATTTGACACACGTAAGTTCACACGCAGGTCTACCTACGCTCTGAATTTCGTGCATCTAGCTCCTTTACTTTTTAAAATCACAGAGGGTCCAACTGATCCCCACCCGAGCGCCTCGCCTTCAGCCGGCCACCCGCGCACGTGTTGCTCCTTGCCATCGGAAGAGCAAAGTTGGAGGGAGCATCCCAGCTTCTATGTAATTTTCACTAATCGCTAGATCAGATGCGCACAATTTTAACAGTGGCACCAGCTTTCTCAAAATAAAAAAGCCCAAAATTTCGATTTCAAGTAGCCGACCCAGCGGGATAAATCCCATTTGACTCTTTGACGACCACTATGAACGTTTGCATTTCATTTGCCTTGCTTTTTCCAACTTGTGTGTTCTGTTATGTTTGCAACATACTAATGTGTCAAATGGTTGTGTAATGAAGGCTATGAAGGCTTGCAACACTGTTTAGATAAGAAGATATGCAAGCATGAAGCTGTTGCCCCGCAAGTTCAATGCAACGCTTTGGCCTTCGTTTTCCCGCCATGGCGTTTACCACAATAGCTCCTTTTAAGGCGCTTTTTGACTTCGGGCAGGGGAGTATCGCAAAATTCATGTGACACACTGATTCAAACTTCAGCCGACCACATTCTCGGTAACAGGCGCTTGCCCACTGGGTCAATCATAAATAGAGGTGCGCACGGTCGTTGTCATGGAGACGGCGCTCGCAGCTGCAGGGAAAAGTGTAGTGACGTTAAAAAGCATTGACAGCGTACTTTCGACTAGAAAATAATCAAAATTGACGTACTCATGTCTTGACGGCGCTACACTCGCACCACCCAGTGCTATCATTAGACGTATCTAGTCCTGATCTTTCATTAGAGTATGTTTTTTTTGGATATGCCCAAGCGTCCCAGCTATCTGCATGAAGTTGTCTTTCCGTTTGAGTCTATTGCAAGAGAATGCAACATCAAACGAGTATGTTAGATGCTGCATTCTCTTGTATTCTCTTGCAATCAAACAATGAGATATGTTCATCGACGATTTGGGTACGAAATGTTCTCACATCATGGTTTCGACGCCCGCGTTTCAACAAAACTTGAAGACTTCTTCGCATTCTCCGGACAGCACACGCCGACAAAATACCCACACAGTTCGGTAAGCGTCACACCACTTCCGCAATGGTAAAGAACAGACAAAACATGCTGCTCATTTACAAATATATTCTCAAACAATGTTCAGCACCATGACCTATCATGCACACGTGGATGAGACTTGACGCATCGAGCGCTTCTGCGACCAGTCGAGTCCCCTCCATCCATTCCACCAGAAGTCGACATCCCAGGCTAGGTGACACACCTGGTCATGTACGGTACGTCTTAAACTCAGTTCTAAAAGTACAGCACACTCGCATCACCAACAAAAGGATTTCTAGAGCCGGCGGGTCCTCTCCTACTCTCCCGGTTTTCCTCGTGACGGCCCAAGCAGAACACACAGCCCGACGGCTCACCGCAGCGGACTCCAGTCTTCCAAAATCTCGCCGTACTTTTTCCGCTCTGAAAACAATGCCACCTGCGATGAGCGGAGCAGTCTGTAGCAGCACCCAGCCGCCGGGCGCCCGCGCCGAGCCGCCGTAACACAGACCGCCATTCGGCCGTGGGGCATCACCTGAGAATCGATCCCGCAACACGCTCGCTCAGCTCGGTTCGATAGCATTTTCTGGGCCGGGCCGGACCGGGATCACAGCAGGGTCGTGTCCATGTCGCTCGCGTCGCTCTGCCCGGTCACGTGTCTCACTAAGCCGGCGACGACCCACAGCTCGAGCGACAGCCGGAAAACACCCGAGCAAGCGGGGGAAACACCCGAGCGACCCGGGATGACACCCGAGCGAGCCAGGGTAACACCCGAGCGAGCCGGGGTGACACCCGAGCGAGCCGGGATGACACCCGAGCGAGCCGGGGAAACACACGAGCGAGCCGGGGTGACACCCACACGAGCCGGGGCACCACTTGAGCGAGCCCAAAACGCTGGCGGACACCGGGACGGAGCGTCGGCAGGTAAGACCGAGTCTGCAACTGTCCTAAACTGTTGGAGCTGGTGAACGCAATGTATGCAAGCACTGCCAGGGTGGCGCGCTCCCTGTGCGAGCAGCAAGACATGCGGAAATGTGCCACAAACGCAAAGTGACTCGATGGAACTAATTGGGTACACATTTACCCACTAAAACGGACAGACATTCCCAAACACCTCCCGTCCACACCGCGCGCGCAAGATCTCAGAGCCCTCCCGGCGCCGGCCCCACCAGCGTGTCGCATCCCGCGCCGCCGCCGCCGTCGCCAGCCCGGCCCGGCTCAGGACGGCGCGCGCTCCCGGCGCCAGTCGCCGCACCGTTCGATCTCGGCGAGGCCGTTAGCCGGCCCGGCCGTGCCGCTTTGCATACGTCCGGCGCCCGGCGAGGCGTGAGCGCGCACCGGCCGGCCAGCCGCCGTCCACATGCCCGACCGGTGGGGCGCGGCCTCGCATGCCCGCGCCGGGTGGCCTGGGGCCCGTGCATCGCTCGCCCCGGTGGCCGGGAGCCCACGCCTCTAAGGCGCTGGATGACCCTAAGTCGCACCTCGCATGCCATTTGCCATTATTGCATGTCATTGACGGATGCCATTGACCGCACATCTCGGGGGGGGGGGAAGGCGCAGAGCACAGCTGCGATGTAGCCCCCGAGCGCTAACATGACATCTACAGTCGCTGGTCACCCCTAGCAGAATGCGGGTCGCGCTATCTTTCGTAAAAAGTAAATCGGGAGGCATGCCACATTCGCCCAGGCATCCATGCGGAATAAGCATGGATCCAAAAGTCTTTGGGTCCAAAAGACTGCAGGTGTGCTTAACAGCCATACAAATTTACAGCCCCACAATGACCCTCCGCACCCGGCGAGCCGAGCGCACCCTCACCTGGTACGGGGAAGTCTTCCGGATGCAGCTGGATGTAGTGCTTGAGCACGGCGTCGCGCTCGGCCGCCGACGACTGGAGCCACTTCTCGATGTAGACGCCCGCCATCCAGCCGGCCAGACCCAGGCCGATGTGACGCTGGATACCTGCAGTGTGACGTCACCGGTCACGGCACGATCGGCTCCACTGGCGGCGAGCAGCCGGCTGCCACGAAATGTGAAGTTAAAAAGCCCCAACGTCTGCGACAAACGCGCAAAAGGAGGCGCGCTCTTGACCGGGGCCTGGTTACGAACAATACAGCTATGGACTCGTGTAGCTTTATATCAGGCCGTTTGGGTAGGGTGAGTACCATATGCGATTTCGCACCACCAGCAAACCCAAATCCCGAATGACGCAGAACTGCCGGCTGTCCCGCCCGCATACTCACAAAGTGTAAGGCGTGAGTGGATAGCTGGTTTCGCATAAGGCTACTGCGACAAGGTTACGAGCGCATAGTAAATGCTGGATATAAATGTAAAGTGAAGGAAAGCATCAATCTCAAGATCACGAGGCAATAAAAAACACGACTAGCGCTTCTATCATAAGCTCCAGGGTGCAATTCATGTCATGAGCTAGCTCGGACCGGCGCGAGTTTAAGCCGGGGGCGACACTCCCCTGCGAAAGCAACGCCACCTTTAACGTGCACCGAGTCACCAGCAGCGCACTCTGCCGCGGGCCCACACCGGCTGCCGCCAGCCCTTACCGGCGAACATCGGCTTCTTGGCGAACAGGTTGTAGACGAAGCCGGAGCCGAAGCCCATGACAGACCAGCTGATGGGCTGGAGGTAGCGGACGAGCAAGGGGCGCGGCGGCGCCGGCGTCTCCAACACGCGGATGTACGGGTGGTCGTCCTCCTCGCCGCCCTGCAACATGACCGCTGCCGGCCGACGACGCGTCCTGTCAGGCACGCCGACGTCCCGCAGGTCGTTTACAGTGGATGAGAGAAGCGAGGCAGGGAAGGCAGTGATGCTTCTGCACGGCGATTAACTGGCATAGGATGTCCTGGGAGACGGTGAAGAAACTCATTAAAGAAAATTGACAAAAGCGGCCTTTACACAGCAGGAAAAAACACATGGGCCAGAGATTAGCCCATTCGTGAGTGAGGCAGGAGCGGAGAAAGGTAGACCAGGAGACATGCATTCATGCTATGACGAGGATCACGACAGACTAACCACGTGGGAATGACTTTAAAATGCTTGGAATATTGGTGGGAGTTTGGGCCAGAACAACTGGTTACAGGGAGCCGAGCTCAGGACCAAGGACCACACAGAGCCGAGTTCAGGACAGACCCCCAGTGACTGCGGCTCACCAGAGCGGTACACACACGGCCGCCGGGGCTGGGTGGCGGTCAGGTGAGGACAGTGTCGGGGCGCTTCCGCCGGCGGCGGACGGAACGGGATCGGAGCGGCCTCACGGTCCGGCACGGACCCGCAGCCAGGCGGCGGCGGCGGCGGCGGAGCGAGCTGGATCGAGGCCGCCACCTGGCCCAGCGTGGGCCCACAGCCGGGCGGCGACGGCCGGGGCTGGATCGAAGCGGCCACCTCTCCGAGTGAGACCGACGCCGGCGACGTCGGCGGGGGCGCGGAAGGCGGCGGCGTCGGCGCCGGTCGGACCGGCAGCCGCGGCAGCGGCGGCTCCGGAAACGGATGACGTAGCTGCGGTGGCACGGCCGTTCCGACGCCGGCGTCGGCGCCGGCGCGGCGGGGTCGGCCGCACGGGCACTCGCACGTGCAGGTGGCGCTGGCGTCGGCCGGCGAGCCGGCGTCGTCCGGCACCGCCGGCGCCGGGTACGGAGGGTGCAGTCGCGGCGGGTCCGGCGGCGCACGCACGCCGAAGGATTTGGACCCAGACATACTGCTGGGACAGCGGCGGGTAGATTAGGAGCGGACAAGAGGGGTAGGACTGCCTTGCCACGTTCATTTCTAGAGATGATGGGTAGCGACGATGTTGGGAAAGAGCACGACAAAGATGTCATACGAATTCGAAGTTGGCCTTTCCAGCTAAGTCGTAATTTCAAGTCACCCATTCATAGAGTATTAGGGACAAACATGCCTCCAAGTGTGTCACTTCCTCGGATATTTTTTCGGACAGAGTCCGGTAAAAAAGGTGCTTATGTTAACACCTTACAACAGATGTTTGCTGAAATATAGTATGTTACATAAACTGAACAATTAAATAGCACCTGTGAAGCATCATGTAGAGATGGTTGAAAAGATAAAACACATAAAACAGTCAAACATTTCAAGTGAAATGGCAAATGCTGATCAGCATTTGTTAATACCTGTAAAAATAAAAAGATGGCTATGACCAAGCAATCACAGTCCCATTCTCATTTGATATGTAGCCTTTGACAAAATGAGCCAATACCACTGGATAAGAGTGATATTTTGTATGAGGGTTTACCAACTTTAGATTTATATGTGGTTTTCTTAAGTCATATTTTGCAAGTACATTAGACATGTGTTCCTTATTCACATTTGAAAAGTATTTGTTAGTGGGCAAATGAGTAAAAACTCTCTGGGGAAAGTGGTACTCATTCTGATGCTGCCACTTTAGTGCAGATGAAAACAGGACCGACAAATACAATCCATTGATAGTGCGCTGTAATTATGTCTGCCTACTCCAGTGCTGCCAGAATCACCAGGGCTTGTCAGGTGAGCAGCTGGCAGCATATATAAGGCCATGCAGTTCAGGATGTGTTTAGACCCACAATTTGTTGGTTAAGCAACAGACAAGAATGTCTAATAGTTGATAAAGTAGCATAATTTTTTATATAGTGAAAAACACTGGCCAAAACCAGGCTGGATATTAAGTTTTGGCATAACTCAAGTGGTTTTCACAGGTCTGCCCCTCCCAGTTTTGATCTAGGTTCAAAATCAAAACAAACCAAGTACTTAACAGCAGTTCATGAACAAAGACTGAGACACCCAAGATATAGGCATCATGGACCAAATAAATTGTTTTGGGCTATTGTCCTTATCTGGCTTGTTATCATATGCCCTTCCAATGAAAAAAGAGGTAGCAACAGGCTGTCATATACAAACCAATGCAACAGATGGGGATACAAGTCAGTACATGTCAGTACACACATACAAGTCAGTCTATCTATGAATATGAAGAGCACACTGGCAATATTTGGAAAAATTATCACACTTGCAATACAAACTTCTATCCATATATTTTCAAATGAAAGAAGTTAATATGAATAATGGACTCATTGAATAACCTGGTGTTGTCACCTGATATGACAACTTCTTGCCAAACAAATTCGTAAGATGCATTCATACATATGTGACCACTATGAAAGCAAACACACCCTGACAAAGCTATAAAATATCAGCCACAAAAACTGAAACCCCAAATATGCCCAAATGCAGAGTAAACCCCATATGTTCAGTGTGGAATGATATGCTGCAAATAGTTTGCACTTCACAATTTTGAAATGGACATTTACAATATCACATTTACCTTTTGATGATCAAATAAAATCTACCTTAACATGGCCTCCCCAGACTGCTAAGCATTTGCCTTTCCTAGGTTTAGTTTATTACACACATATTTTTTTGAAGTAGTATCAATGCCCAGTGTCAAACACGTTCTGCCAAATTTCCCTGGAGGGGGCAGCTGCATGCGTGGTTGTACCAGTTACACCCCATATAATACATAGCTTGCAAATATCTGTATTACTGCTGTTGTGATCTCTTCTAAATTATACAGGAAACCATATTGTGTGTTGAGTTCAACTCCAGTAACATGCAAAGGGTCATGCACTGTGTGTTTCCCACCTCAAGAGCATCCAAAACATGACCAACACAAGGATCTAAATGACAACAAATTTTTCAGCGAAGATAACTTGGTTACTCAGGTGATGAGCAATCAAGCATCGTTGAGCACATATGATCAGCTTAGAAAGTGAGGAAAACCAGCAAAACGCATTTTTGTGCTCTATGCCACACACCTGCCTTGCTGAGATTTGCCGAGACAAGTGCACCCTTTCCACTTATTCCCACGTTCCCTCTAAATATTTCGGTAAATCTTCGGATGGAAATCGGCGTTGCGAGACCAACCCACGAAAGACGGCGGATAGATGCACGTATAATGCAAGTTTTAAGTGTTGGGCGCAATGAGCGCAACCGCGCAAGAACGACATGAAAAATGGCAGCCCGATTTATTTGCTTTTTCCCTAATTAGGGAAAAATACTTCAGATCTTTTGTTGCTGGGAATATTTCATTTCTGTTATTATTGGGCGAGGGGTCGATTTGGCCCCGAAGACTTTTACAATGTCATTTTTAAGCGGTGCGGCATAGCTGCGCCAAACTTGAAGTAGCTATAAGCAACTAAAAACGTATCTCTTGCCGTAAAAATCGATGTACCTTGCAGGCTGCTGACCTATGGTAGGTCAAAGTCAGGCCGTGACAGTCAGCGACGACATTTCTAGAAAATCGTTCAATCTTGTGCAGCAACGGAGGGTTTAACGAGGACATAGATCTCTGAGATAGTCCTTGTGCACCAAAACAATTGAATATAAGACTACAGCAAATGTAATGGACCTTGGGCCATGAATGAAGATCATATCGAGGTCAAAACGAGCCTATGTTTTACTTGAGAGCCCATTGCACGCTAAGGTTTCCGGTGCTTATTTAGAATTCATTTATAACAGGGACAAAAGCTGACATCTTCCATGATCTTCTTGAAGGTTAAAAAAGACCACCGACTTAAAATGACCCAGGTAATCATTTTAGGAGCATACCCTCTAGCGTAATCGCTGACGCAAAATTAAAAAAAATGAATACAATTTTGTGCGATTTTGGTCACCATGACATTCTAAAGGTCAAACAAGACCACTGGCATTAAATAAGCCCCAGTGACCTTAAGCAATAGACACCAGCCTACAACAGACATCCAGGCTCACGACGATTCCATGAGGACATCTGAGGTCGTCGTCTTCCTTTGGGTGCAGTAGGCCATACTGACACCCCGGGGAATGAGCCCGCTGACGCTGCAGCGGAACAAACTCTCGACATGCCTGCCCGTAATCATCTTGCTTGCCCGGTACCTGACTGTCTCGCGGTCATCAGTTCATCATATCGCTCTTTCCAACAGCGTGAATGAGATCAGCACGGCTGCCAGCACACGCACCACATGAAGCAAACACACTCTGACCCTGCTGCTCCGTAAACCAGAACACGCGCTTCAAGGAAATTCTCCTCGTCAGACCCCAAATAAGCCGCACAAAACTAACTAACACTCGCATCGTCTAACGCAATCCCACCACTGCGTCATTGCTGCCACATGCCATACACAGTAACGCGTTTCATAGTCACCTGCCCCATCTGCATGCGATGTCGTGGAAAGCTCGTCCAGTACACAGACGCACACGGCGTCCTATTCACGCTGCCTACAAACCTCGGGGACTCACATCCTGAAATGTTGGCGCTTCGCTTCGAATCTTTACACAAAATGAATTTAGATAACTACATATAAATAAGTAAATGTGAGGTTTTCTCCTACCCACTTGAGAACGAGCAGGTTTCTTCATTAAAAGAGGTTTTGCCATGGCACAATTCGGCCAAAACGTGCTAGTTTCCTTCATTTGTAAGGGGGTTTCCAAGCAGAATTCGGCATAAACGTGCTGATTTCCCCATAAGTGTAACAGTCCGGTTTTTTCTAGTGAAGACTTTTCTCGGCTTACACTGCACAACAGGACGGGGTCGCACCGGGCCTCTCTCCCATTTACTGCGAGTAGCGACCTGGTTCAGGTCGCTGACAGACCCCAACACGGACGGACGGACCTGACGGACCTGACCACGGACGGACGGACCTGACCGGACCTGACGGACCTGACCACGGACGGACAGACCTGACGGACCTGACCACGGACGGACGGACCTGACCTGACCTGACGGACCTGACCACGGACGGACGGACCTGACCGGACCTGACGGGCCTGACCACGCAGCCGGGTGCCCGCTATCCACCATGCGGGGAAACCTTTGCTTCGATGATGTGGGCACCCGTCATCCGAGCGTATTGTTATCGACGAATACAATGAGTAGGCGTGCGTCTTGTGTTTTACTTTGCATTTGTGACCGGACGAAATTAGCCGGCTTAATGTAATTCCAAGCGCGTTTTTCTTGCATTGATAATTTGATACCGGGCAGTATTAGCCGGTTTAACGTAAAGTAGATTGTCGCTGTCCGTTGCCCTGCGCCGGATAGCACAAGCCAGCTTTACGTAACTCTGCCTCGCCTTCAGTCAGAAAAGTCCCGCCAGCCCCGGCTATGACTTTAGGTTGCCGGGACACACACACACACACACACAAAGAAAATCCGCACCGTGGTCAATACCCGTTATATATTTTTTTCTGGTTTTCCTGCATGCTGCCTGCTTCAGATTAAACATTGCATGAGCTTTGTGGGCTTTGGCCCGCTTTTATGCCGTTGTTTGGGTGTTTTGGCATTATCCAGCAATGTTTCAAGTTCCTCGGACCGCAGCAAAGTTGCATTAATTTGCCGATACATTTTACCAAGAAATGAAAAAAAAACAGCCATCTAGCAGCACTAAAAAAGCTTATCAAGTTATTACCCGCCTGTGCTTGAAAGAACCTTTCAAGTAACTGGCCATCATGTTGACGTGAATATTCGATGGAACAGCTATGAAAACCTGACGGTCCACGCCAGGGGACTAAACCGATGGTAACCGTCCAGCAATGACCACGAGAACAGCACTCGCCGTGTCTGACATTGCCTAGCACGAGTGCTGCGTTGCAGCCTGCAGCCATCAGGTCTTGCGGCTACCTGCCAGCCGGCGATTTCCGTGGGAGGCTTAAATAGTCGCGCACGTCAATTTACACGTTATTGGATCTGCTCGTTTGAGGGTTGGCTTGAACGTCCGCCTTCTGAGTAATATATCAGTGGCGAGTTGACTTTGGGTCGCTTCTTGCACTTGCCGTTTCACTTAGACTGGGATGCTCTGTGGCGTGTGGGAGCAGCCGCGCTTGAATGGAGGGTTTCACATTTGTATGGAGTTTTGAAATGAAATAGCCATCTTGGAGATCATTCAGTGCAGTTCACGACACTGCCCTTTCTTGAGACCTAAGCCTGCCTAGTTTCTGAACTACACGCCGGCAAAGATGAGCAGACTACTTCGAGCAGACCGTTTCAAGGTCACTCAGGCATCCATGATGTCATAATAATACCATTCAAATTCCGCCATTCCATTGGCCATGCGGTGGTCAAGGTCAAGAAAAATATGTTTGTCGAGTAGTTCATATCTGGCGTTCATGAGCAGGATTTCTAGATATGGCGGCTGTCAACTGACTCAATCAATTTTGCGCAAAGTATGATGACGCAGTCAAACAATGACGCATCGATGAACAGATTTATCAAATAGAGAAATGGTGTTGTCTTGGGCAGTCCTTTCTCCCTGAAAGTGTGCCAATGATTATAAGTGAACTTATTTCATCACATCAATGTCTTTTATGAGGAACACAAAATGTAGCCTGGGTTTTACGGAACGGCTGCTACGAGCTGTTAGCATTACGGATGATAAAGTTTTCAAGACTGTCGTCCTCGTCCTGAGTGTTAGCATGCACACAATATTTCGAATGGCTCGACCGCTACAGCCGTCAGGTGTCAGCTGGCCCTGAGAACGGCAGGCTGGTATTTGGGTTCTAGGCATGTATGTGTCACAGTCAAGGAAAGTTGTGTGATAGGAGTATTGTAGTGACAGAACGACCATGTATTTTTGTGAAGTAAGTATGTAACAGCAGTGAAAATTCAGCCTGGCGAAGCTGAATTCAGCAGTTCAAAATCGCATTAGGCCGAAGATGGCAAGGATGGGGGCAAGAGGAAGTCGAGTTTTAACATACACCCGGGTGGCCGGTTGGTTACCCTTCGCTCGGGTGGGGGGTCAATTTGACCCCCAAGATCTCAAAAATTAAGAAAGCTACAAGCACAAACTTCACATGATGTATTGGCCCGTACGTGAACTCACTTGTGTCCACATTTGAGGTTCCCGGGTGATGACTTTCGAATCAAGCAAGGCCAAACAATGTCAAACTCCAGGCTGGTGTCATGTGCCCCCAGAAATTATTATGCTTCCACGGTAAACCTAGATGCCTGTTATAAGCCAAAGGCCACTGGTGCTCATTGAAGGTCAGTGACCTTGTGTGACCCTTCGAGGGCCTTGGTGACCAAAATCATACAGGACTGCTTTGATATTTGCATTTGAATAAACGTCAATGATTACGCTAGGCAGTATGCTCCTAAAACAAAGGTTGACCTGGATTATTTTAGGTCAGTGACCTTTTCTGACCTTTAGGAAGTCCATGGAAAATGCGTTATGAGGTTTCTGTTATCAATCAATTCAAAATGGGCACCAGAGACTACTCCATTCAGCAAGCTATAAAGTATTAAAACAGGGTTTTGGGTTTTGGATCCTGGGTTTTGGCCCTGGTCTTACCTTCATACCTGATCCTAGGTCAATGGAATTTGCTAACTCAGCTGTTATGTTCCCTGGGAAACTGCTACACAAACGTATGGCTTCGTCTAACATTCCGTTATTGCATCATGTTGAAAGATTCCCAGGAAAATATCTTCGCTGAATTCATGGTCTGATTTTGACCTGCCGTAGATAAGTCACATTAGAAGGTAAATCTCAATTCTTGATGCTGCACCATCCACTATTCAATTACCTACAGCTTTGCGAAATTTGGCACGCCGTGCCGCTCGGAAATTATGCCGGAAAAACCTTGTGAGCGGGGATCAAATCGACCCACTACCTGAGCGCGTGTTAGTCAAGCCCATAATCCAAATATTGTTCGAAGCCAAAGTCGAAGTCAGGCGTTCAAAATAACCCAAAGCCGAAGCCGTTCGTAGAAAATTACACAACTCAAAGCCGAACTCGAGGCCATTGAGAGAAAACGGCGACCTGGCAAAGCAGAAGCTGAAGCCGACACATTTGATGGTGACGGTGCATGTGATTGTTTATCAATGGTGCAGATTGATAAACAATCACAACTTCTGAAAATTGTCTTTCAGCAAATGCTTCGACGCTAGCTTGCCGTTCAACCACGACTGTCATGACGGGTGTC